CTACCATAAGAGCCGCAAAATTAATGTCGCAAATTAAATTGGCGAATTACTTGGCATTAATACAAGAAAAAAAAAAAAAAATGAAAACATTTTGGCCTGGCCACGATATCTACATAACTGCGAATCGATGTGAATTTCATTGGCCAAATGCTGCAAATACTTCTCAGCTCTTTGTGGAGTTTCGAGTGAGTTATTCGCGGCCATTGGGAATCAAACTGCACGTGGCCCATGGACTGCGTTTGTAAAGTCGCAGCCAACAAATAAGCCTTGTTTGCAGGAATGTGGTCTAAATGGAACAGCTCTATTGCATGTTCTCCCATGTTCCAGAATAGCTCAGCTATACATTTAGGATATTCATGGACTCTACTTTAAAGTCTTCTCAGTTTAAGAACCTAGATATAGCAAATGATATAGTCTTCCGATTGAGATAATATGTGGATCATATATGGGAAGCATAGCAAGGGATGTTAAATTATATTGCAGCCTGATCTGTCTCAATTATATAAGCTGCCTGCTAAAGAAATACAGATCGAAGAGACTAGCTTACACTCGACTAGACTGTATATAAGGATCAAGAATATATACTTTATGAGTTCGTAACACACCAGAGACAAAAAAGAAAACCCTCCCAAATGAACCAACTATATTATCTGTTTAGCTTTCTTTAGATTATGTTCTTTGAGTACAAGCAGTTCCATAAATTTTCCCATCTATCCAGCATATATCTTGGCATTTACAAATTACCTAGGCAGCACACACATGGAAAGTTGGACTGGGAAATGGTAAAGAAATTCGAATCTTAATCTCAATTATGCAAATCAAAAGTCGCACTAATTTGTTAGTTGTCGTCATCGTTGGGGGCTATTAATGAATTTACATGGCCATAAACATAAATACATAAATACACATCCAGCTACAACCTGTATATAATATATATATATATATATATGTCAATGAGAGCTTTATCTGTGGACGAGGCTGGGCATAAATTAGACAGGCGACAGGTGTAGGCAGCTGTGAGAAGATTGAGATGAAAACGTGTAGAGATGAAGATGACTTTTCTCAGATTGTGCAATCGACACACACAGCTACACACACACACACGCACACACAGATACACAGCTGACATGAAACTCGATAGGTTTACTCGGGCCCAGCATGAGTAGCAGAGTGGGAGGAGAAGATGACAGACAAGACTGTGACATACTTTGTTTAGTTTTAATGCCCAATGACACTGAAGACATCTACACCTGTGTGTGCCTGGCCTCCAGGTGTTTGTCTTGTAGTTTGTCCGCTGATAAGTCACGTCTCGTTTGTATCCGCATATTTGCCTTAAAGTTGCCTCGCTCGCTCTTGACTAATTGGCGGGCAGCTGGCAGCTGGCGACTGGCTTTAAGCTAATGCACATTAGTTTGGCCAATTAAATTGGACTCCGACTTATTTAAAACTATTATCGGCGCAAGTCAAAACCGCAGCAAACACAACCGCACAAACATGCCCCATAATCAGTTCGAACAAATCAACTTTCGAATGCAACCGCCGAAACCGACGCAACCGACGCAACCGCTGCAAACCGCCAAAGCGACCGCTCGAACCACGGCAAATGTGAATGCGACTGCGACTGTGACTGCGACTGCGACTGTGACTGTGACTGTGAATGCAGCTCCAGGCTGAAAGTTGGACAACTGCAAGAAACTACAACTGGCTAATGTGGCGGCATTTGTCACATGGCAAACGGACTACACCAATTACCATGTAAGCGGCGGTTGGTGGGCGGCAGTGGGTGGCAGTGGGTGGCATGGGCTGGAAACCAGCAGAAGAAGAAGCAGCAGCAACAGCAGGTATTTGACTACGCTGAGGCTCAAAAGTACGTCAAACTTACTTGAAACGAGGTACAGCAATTAATAGGTGGGCCGTGGTAGGTGACTACACTAAGGGCCAAAATAATTGGCACACTAACTCAACTTACTAATAGAGCAAAATAATAGTTACACTAACCTAAAGGAGGCATCGGTTGAAGATTGAGAGAAGATATTTTTCTAGATCGCAACTTTTTGTTGGCAATCTAATATTTTTCTTAAAATTCTTTGCTCCAATTAATGCGTGCAAATTCAGCTAATCATGAATACACTTGATTATTATTCATATTATTCAAGTTTTTGCTGCCTTCAGGCTTTGACTAGCATTGTTTTTTGATTATTTCGTGAATTTATGAGAATTTCGCATGTAGAGCCGGAATATTTAATGTGGCCTGCTACAACAAATTGTGGTGTGGCCTAATGTCTTCTAATTAATAATAGTAGTTAATTGTGTTCTAGGGCAACAGAGATTATATCAGTGTGATTAAAAGTCTAATTTCTATATTAATTTGTTGCTTTTTTGAAGTAATATACAGTCGAGTATTTAGATATCTGAATGCAAATAAATATGTTTAGTTTTTGTAATATTATTTTTAGTTCTCATATGGAAATTATTTAATTAAAAATGTATATATTGCATAAATAGATAGATTTGATATATTTATTATGCTATTCCGAATATAATCGAATACTTTCATTTCGTAAATAAAGGATAATAAAATATATTCGGAATGAATTGAATACTACTTTGTGTGAAATTGAGTATGCCAAACTGATATTTATCCGCAGCTAAAATCTTTAAGTAGAGAACCGGGCAGAAAGACAAGTAGCAGCTGGGAGGGTAACTAAATTTCTCTGGAATTCCACTTGCACACTTTCTCGCCCTACTACTCACTCATTGCCAGCGGAAGTGCGTGAGTCTAATGCAACCTCGTCAGTTGCACGTTGTTGTAACTCTGGTCTATTTACTAAGGCAGCCCACACAGTCGGGGGCATCTTTCAGTCGGGTTGACAGTTTGCACTTAGGCGCAGTTGTCAGTTGGACAAACAGAGCCGAAAAGTGTACTAAAAATACAAAATATCATAACATAATACTTGAGAGGTGGGTGATGTGGAAGTGTGTTACATTTGGCCTCGACCTCCAGCGAAAGGAATCTCTTTGCCGCACTCGTCCAGCTAACCCTAAGTCGTAGAGGGGAGGGGTAGCTGACAGACGGAGTGGGGGGCAAACACAGGGATAATCTGTAAGTGGAAATCTGTTTTTCCATTTGAAGTGCGCACTGTTGAAAATATTAAAAAGCAATTTCGAATCTTTCAACATTTCTGCCTCTCGGAATTTCCTTTTAATTAACCCCACTTGAGAAACTTAAGGTAAACTGCGCGGCGCAGAAGTCGACGTCGACGTCGACGTCGACGGCGGCGGCTGTTTTCCTCTATTTGTAAATATTTGTGGTAAATTTTTACACAATTTCTCGACAGCTTGACAAATGCAGCAAACACACACACACACACACACGTACAACTAATTACTTGCCACACACTTGAACTAGTTTTTCAGTTTTCCACAGCGTGAAGCAGCGGTCGGTGGAAAATTTGTATCCCTTGGACTGATGGAGGGCGGAACCTTGTCTTAGTTGCATTTTGATAGAATTAGACGCGCGCCTTGGCATCATTCGACCTGAGATCTTTAGGCTCTTCAGGATTTGGTTGGAAGACTTGAAAGTGAATCAAGCGCAAATTCTGAGACAACTTTATATAAAAAGAGCCTTCAAGGGGACGCTATTTTATTCATTTTAATGTATTAAAATGAGGCAAACTCTTGTCCTACTTTTTCATTAATTGGGCAATAAGCTAATATACATTTCTACTCAAATAAAATCTTAGAAAAAGATTTGAAGTTTGGCGCAAGGCCTTTGGGCTTGTGGCATTACACAAAACAAGAACAACTACAGTGCGACCTCGCTACACGCAACAAGCGATTTCTAAACATGCGAAAATTATAAATTGTAAAAAAAGTACAGAGCGCAATTACTCAATTTCTCTCAGTGAACTGCTTGCCGCGTACACAGAACTATTCGATTTACTTTCATCTCTTCGAGGTCGTACTGTACTTCTTTCTTCATATTTTTTCTTCATTTTCAAACAAATTTTGAAAACAATTTGGTTGCTTAAATACTTTTAAATTGCTTGAAACATTGCATTCTATTCTAAGTATTAAGCACAGACATCTTTTTATTTGAACAATTGCAATTGGAAAATTTTGGAGTTTTGAGTTCCATTTGAAATAGAGGCACGTTCGAGTGTAGCAACAACAAAGCGTCGCGTGTCAAATATTTGTACAAATGCTTCTACATGGACTGCATTTTCACGCCGCATAATTAGACAGAAAAAAAAAACAATTGATAAAAACAAGAAATTCAATTGAAATGCAACTCAGCTAAATGCAACAGCAAAAACAATTGAAACTTGGCTAGAAAAACTACAAATTTAATTAAATGCCAAACGCAACTCGTGCAACAGAAACAACAACAACAAATGACAAAGTCTGTAAAAGAACTGTTAACGACATCTGACAAGAGGCCTAAAAATGCAAATTGCATGTGGGCACACTGGCAGGGCTTATGCTTATGGAAGGGGTTTTGGTGCGGGGGATATACGGCATATGGATAGAAGAGAATGGCTTGGGATGGGAAGACATGCTATGCATATTCTAATCGGTAATCAGCCCAACGCAAGGCGTGACCCATTTGAAATTGCCGATAATGTTGCGAGGGTGGGGTAAGAGAGAGGGGCGGCACATATGAGAGGTGGGAAAGTACAGTTGGAAAAGGTGCGGACAGAGTTGCGAGACAACTGTCGAATTGTGGAACAGCTCAATAACCAGGAAATGGCAGAAAAGGAAACAATATAAGTTAAATATAATACTTAAAAAGAGATAAAATAAAGTATAAATACTTAAAAAGAGTTAATAAAGGCAGGAAAGTAAGAACGAAAAGAGAGGAAGAGCAAGAAATTGTTTTCAATTTTATAGGAATGCATTTTTTGAGAAAGAATTCAATTGGCAAAATGCTTTGAAATCTCGTTGCTTGGCAATTCCACACATTTATTTTAATCTTAATCCTAATCTTATTTTCGACTTACCTTTTTTCTGTTAAATGCAGACAATTTTCATCGCCAAATCGTTTATATTTAATTATTTAATATATGGTTGCACGCTGCGTGAATTTATCCTTTATTTATTGTACTTTTAGCTGGTCACATTATGCAGACACACACACACACACACACGCGCGCGCACATACACGCACACACATATAAATCTCGTGGGGGTTTCGCTTGAGTGTGTGTAATGAAATTCAATTAAAAATAACGCCAAAGATGATCGGCCAAAAACAATAACACGAGGAAGGCGGAAAATCACTTTTCAAATTGAAATTCAATGCACTTTGGTCACACTTTTTGTTTGCAAACCGGCGAGCAGCAAGCGTTAACCGTTTGTCGTCGACGTCAACGTTAACGTCAACGTCGGCGGCGCTGCTATTCAATCAATGCAATTCCAATTAGAAGACAAAGCCTAGCAGCGCAGTCAGCGTCACAAAAGCGCGCCGCGTCGCAAAATTCGCGCGAGTTTATGTGTTTTTTTTTTTAGGCTTTTGCGTATGACAGCAGGATATTTATTATTACTGTGCGACGTTTTTCTGGCAGTCTTCAGGCTGCTTTTTTATGACTTGCAGATTTAATGTTAACAACTTTAAAAGCCCCAACACGCGCTTTCCGCATTTGCATAGAGCACGTCTAACGTACAATTATAAATTTACGCAAAATGCTGGTAAACGACGCTGACGACGACAGAACGACGCTCCGACCACAACCGCTCGCGACGAGTTTCGCTTTACAACTGGCGCCTTCCAATTGGAAGCACCGGAGCCAGAGCCAGGCAGCGTCCACTAAGCATAAGTAGCGGCATGCGGCGCAGTGTGCGTGCGTTTGTGGGTGGCTGTATGGATGCTTCGGCTGAACGAATTGCTTTGCTTCGTGCTGCGGGCCTTCGGTTCGTTAGGAGTCGTTCGGCTCGGTTTGAGGCGAGAGAGCGTGTGAGCATAGAAATCGCCTGCGAGAAATTGAAGCGTGTTAGTTTGATAAGTAAAATAACTCTTTTTTTTTTTATAGAAAACCAACTTTTTTTTTTAATAATTAATTATTGCTTTTTGTTTAGATTTTTTTTTAATTAATTGGAATTTTGTGAATAGCCAATAAAACCCGCCAGAGTAAATATTTGAACTTGCTATAAATTCTGCTCTCTTTTTATAGCAACGCTCTTCACATGCCGGCAGACAACAAAACTCGTTTCTCAGCTGCTTCGCTCACTGGAATTGGAATTGGAAGCAAGAGAGCGTAAGAGAAAGAGCGAGCACTGCTAACAGCTGATTTTTGTTTATTTCAAACAAACTCTCTGTTGTTGTCTGTTTGGTGGCTGCGTGCGTGTGTGTGTGTGTAAGTGTGTTTGCCTGATAAGCACGTGTTTTTATTGTCGGCGTTTGTCAGTTTTTGCGCGGGTGGCGTCACTTTTAACAGCGACTGTTAACAGCTTTGCATAGCTGTTAAAAGATATCTCAATTGGCATCCGATTAGATTAGCATAACATCTTACATATTTAAACATTTGAGGGGCCTGCTACCAACTAGCTCGACAACTAATTAGCTGCGCATCCAATTAGCCGGCAATACTCATGCATAACACACGTTAAGCTCCCACCACTCAATGCCACGCCCCGTTGGCCAAGCCAAATGGCACGCGCAATCGTTGAAATCAGCCGCACAATCAATTAAAATTGAATTTGCTTGGCCAGACAAAAGTATTTGAAACATTTTGGCGCACAGATAATAAAACATAATGGACATGCAACAGCGTCAAATGCTCGACTTGGGCATACCCTGTGCTGCAAACGGCAAGAAATTCTTGTCAACGGTTGACACTCTCCGCCAGAATAAAGAGCTTAGCCTCAATGTGTTATGCAAATATGCTTTGACAACACAATTACAGGGTATTCCGCACCTATGAGCAGCGTCCGGGTCGCCTGCCTGTGCTAAATCAGCAAATGTGTCACTAGCTGCACGGGAATTCTGCTCCATGTAGAAAGAAACGCATTAATTTGGCTCGTTATGACTATTGCCACGCCCCAGCCCCCCTCCTTTCCCGCCAAGACAAGCAGCGACATGTCGCTCGGGCGTCGGGCGTCGGCGGCGACCATATGGAAATATGGAAATACATATATATACATTTGTACGCCCTGAGTAATATGCCACAAATGTCTGCAAGCAGCGGCAGTTGCTCGCAAGTGCCCCCCCGCACCGCACCGCACCCAACTCCGCCAGCAACTCCTCCCCCGTCCAGCTGCCCCTCGGCCAGCTCCACGCCGAAGCCACCGCCAGAGGCGCACGTTAAGCGAATCGTGCACACGCCCCATGACGATGATTAATTACCTTTTGGGTGCTGCTCGTTGTTGCCGCTTGCCGCTTGCCGGTTGCCGGTTGCCGGTTGTTGTTGACTTCAATGTATCTGTATCTGAATTTGTATCTGTATCTGTATCTGTTTCGGTATCTGTATCTGTAGCGAGTATCTTGCGCACATTTCACTTATGCACGCTTGAAGGAAACTGGAGGCTGGCACAGCAAATGCTTTTGGGGGCAGTTCAGTCAACGTTTCGGGGGAAACCTCAGACCGAAGCCCGCTGATGAAGTTGTATTATTCATCACAAATAATTTTCGCACTCTCGTCGGAGTCGAAGTCGGCGTCGGAGCCGACGCTAAAGCTGAAGCCGCTGCGAAGCAGTTAAATAATTGCCGAGACTCGTAGCTAATACAATATGGATACCTTAGCTTGTTTAATGGGTTGGTTTACCTTCTGGAGGGTATTATAATGCAAGGCAATAGATGATTATATAAAGTAACTATATTGATAAGTATCGACTGTGATATATCTTGATCTTAGATCTTAGTGTTAAATATGGATATGGATTGGATATGGACGTGCATTTATTATATAGCTTCTATTAAAATCGATAATCTCTGATTTCATTGCTCAATTCCGCAGGTAAGCCGAAAATACGTACTCATTTAGTTTAATGGATGATGCATTTACTCCGAAAGGGATCCGACTCCAAATGAAAGATATCGGGTTTCCCCGTTGGATTTTCAATGCACTTGCTGAACTCTTTCGCGCTCGCAGGCGGGCAAATCGATAAACTTGAAATCGAGATGCAGCCTAGTTGCTGCTCGAAAGTTGGTTGGTTGGGAAACGGGGAACGGGAGTGAAATATTTCACAGAAATTCGAAACCGCGCAGTCAATGAACCAAAACAAGGGAAAACAAAAGGCATGCGGACTCCAGCACAAACACGCATAGAAAAATAAATAGGAGTAAAAATAAATGGAAAAAAAAAAAAAAAAACGGAAATATAAGAAAATTTTCAACAATTTGACATCTGTTTCAACAATTGCGCTGCTCAAGTCGATGAGGCATGCAGCAAAAAGGACGCCACGTCACGTAGATTGACTTGTCCCCAGGAACAACAACAGAGTCGGGAGACGGGAGTCGGGAGTCGGGTATCGAAAAGGGACCCAGCGAAGGCAACTCCTTTCGTTTCTCTGTTGTTTTCCTTTCTTTGCTTTTGCCTTTCGTATTTGAAGTCTGGTTTTGTGTGCATGTGACAAATGTCAAGGGTTAATGAGATCCTTGCCCATTGAAAAGGAGTTGTGTTAATTATCTGCAACAGCGAGCGGGAGTTTTAACGCTTCATTAGGCAAAAGCATGGCGGCAAAATACTTTACAAATACTTTTCACTCTGCACATCAAGCAAGGGCGAAATCGCTTTCGCCTTTCGACTTCCAAGTTCCATTTGAGGCAAACACATTTACGTAAAACATGTTGCAGACAGTACAAAAAAAAAAAAATATCATGTTACAAGAAGTATTCTGCATTGGTCCCCTTGGGATTGGGGTATTCCTATGCAATTAGTCAGATTTAACTGAAGCAAAGGTTTAATTTGGTGCATCGAACAGATGCCACACAAATGTTGACATTTGGAGACAGTTGAAGCTTGAAACGGAACTAGTTCGTTCACGCGCTTTGAGGTTCTTTTGTGGTTCATATTCAGTTCTTGTAGATTATCATTAAATAAGAAAACAATTAACGAAGAAATTAGCAGCAACTCACCAGCAACGGCAACTCGCATACAAATACGAATAATTTATAAATTTTGAAAAATGATTCCCTGGCGATCATTGCTGAATCTTTCGCAAGAAGTGCAGTCACTAAGCGAAAGTTAATCATTTATATTAATTAGTTTTTAGCTGAGACGAGGCCTTGCAATGTCTGGCCTTAGACCAGGGACTGTCAAGTGATTGATGGATTGTCCGCTGACATTGTTCTCGGTTCGCTTTGATGACTCACAGAGACTCGGAGAGAGCTGCTGTAAGCCTGACTTTCTTGACTGACTCATGCGCTATATACAAATGTACTGAAAAAAAAAAGAAGAGAAACAAATCAGAAGCCACAACAAGCTCATAAAAATGCAATTGACAGTTCAGCTGGACTCTGTGCGCAAGCGGAAGTTTATAGGAAAGCAATTTGACAGCTGTCAAACGGTGAAAGAGCGGCAAATGCTGGGCGCGGAGAAACAAAGATCAACTCCCATACAATTTGATGGCGCTCAAACAAAATTTATTTGAAAATATGCAGCCCAACACACACGCACAGACACACACATGTCTGTACCAGGCCCAGGCCGTATAAGTAGCGCCCATAAACCATAAAAACCCATAATGTATGGCCACTTGACACGCATTAAAACGGCGCCGTTTTTCGAATTTGTTGGCTTCTCGCGGCTTTTTCGTTTCAATATAACTTGCTTGAAACATTCAAATAAGTTCAAGTATTCTTTGTAATGTAAAAGTAGAAAGTATGTAAAAAAATCAATTCTAGAGATACAAATTAAATATTTTTAATGGGAACTTGAATAATGTAAATATTTATTTAATTGAGTATTTAATTCTTTGCATTCATAAAAACATGTTATCATAATTTTTTCCGGCTTTTTGTAACTTTAGCTATTAAAGAGTATTCAATAGTCGCTGCTCTAACAATTTGCTTGCCGTTTTATTAAATTTTACGCTAGAGCGCCTTTTTTTTTTCAAAATATATTTCAAACTCTCTAAAGTTCATAGACAAAGAGCGGCATTAATGTTGGCAATTTATCAGCCGAGACGATCTGCGCTAGAGATCGAGGTATTACATAGTTAGAGGAGTCGAGCTCATAAACTTGCTGGAACTGTGTGACCAGCAGCTGTCACAGCGCAAATGTCAGTCGAAATTTAATTGATTGTCACATTTCGGTTATGGTTACACTGATAAGAGACACATGTCGCACCGCACAATACTCCAGCTCTGAGGATGCACATTCTCCAACTAAGCGTGACGACAATTGACACGAATATTACCAAGTGCTTCATGCAAAGCAAAAGGACCTCTCTAATCCGTCTGTTTATACGATCTATACTAGAGTCATTCTTAAGGAATATGATTTAACCAACTATCAACTTTTGAGGCAAAGATCTGAAGATCTACTCAGCCTTGAATCAAGAGACATCTTTACGAATAACTTAATCCATCAAACAATACGAAGTATAGAATCAATATATACTTAAGTTTTAATAATAATTTATAATGTTTGCATCTTTAGCTAACTAAAGGTTTCCCAGTCCCAAATAATAAAGGTAAAGATACGGATTGAGGTAAAACAGCACTCACTTGCAGATACTAAATCTGATTCCAAAGATTCTGATTAGGCTTAAGAGCTAACTAGATTCTGTCTAAAGGAGACAAAATACTCTAAGCTTTAATATATAGCAGCAGTTGAACAACTCCGAAAAATGATGTTTAGCCC